GGAATTGAAGCTGCAGTAAGCCGTGATTGCACCACTGCACTCAAGCTTGGGCAACAGAGTGAGACCCTGTCTCAAAGAAATATATGAATATATATTCATAACATATTTGGATTTTATAAAATTTTATAAATGAATATATACATTTTCCTATGTAAGATATATGAAGTTTATAAAATACTTGAAATATATCTTTATGACATATATGAATAGTATATATGCCCTTGAGCAGATCATTCTTACTCAAAAGCCATATTTGGTTCTTAAGAGAGAGTACTTGTGGAAGGATGCTCCACAAGAATTGAGGAAAATACTTGTTCATGGATAGGAAACTTGCTTTGGAACAGGAAACAAAGGATACAGATCCATGTGCGTACAGGTCGGGGAGGACAGGGTTGAATATCCGAATGGGAACAGAGGAAGTTATCTGCAGTTTCTCAGGTCATTCTGAGATGTTCTTCCACCCCCAGCTGAGAATCTCTAGTCCAGAGGCTAAGAAGCTCTGCTGCCTATACAGCTACTGCCTTACCCTCCTAATACTCCAGAAGACATTTCATGTTTGTTCATAGCCGTATGGGAGCTGTCTTTTCATAGAATGTTCATCTTTTTTTTAAATAAGGAGTTTTTGATAATTTTGGTGTTTGATCCGTTCATTTTCCCTCCAAATCTTGAGTTCATCATTGCTCTTAGTTTGGCCTGAAGGAAAAGTAACATTCCCAAGCCCCTATTGTTCACATAGGAAGAGATGTATCCCTTTTAATTTAAAAGTTACTTATTTTAACATAATTAATAAATATCAAGAAAAGATAAGGTTCTGGCTTCCATAAGCTGTGTGGACTACAGATTCTTGCCAAGGTCCCAACCCCTCCCTGTACACATTCTGGACTGGAGCAAAGTGTGCGGTCTTCAAAAGTCTTACATCAGTCTTCAAACTTCAGAAGGTAACTGAAGGCAGGGAATTCAGAAGCTGGTGCTCTTATCCTGACTGGACACACGGATCCATAATCCCTAACCCCAGTACTTCAGTTTCAGTTTATAGTTTCTACCAGTCCCGATGTCCCCTGAACATTTCATGACTTGTCATCCAATGCATATGGCACAATTATCCCTGTGATTGCCAACAATTAGAATGGGCGGGTGGAGGGGAAATGAAATCTGCTACTGGCTCAACTCTGGGGTTAGCCATTGCCATTATGACTTGTTAGTACGTGCAGGCCTGGAAGGTGACAGGTTAAGGTTGCCAAGGAAAAGGGGGCTCTGGAGATAACGTCCTGTTCTTTATCCTTTGCCAGGACTTCTACTTAAATTCTCTCTGGATTAAGAACCACAATTGTTTCCCTAGTTACAGAAAGGCTGTTGGTGTTAGGCAAGAACAGGAAGATGGGTGTGGCGGCCCAGGCACTTAGAACAGTAGGTGTTAGGTGTGTGTGTGCACATGTGACTGGGGGGGCAGCATGTGCACATGTGTGTGACTGTACTCTTGTGGAGACTCATAATGCCTAGTAGCCTCCCCTTCCCTTGGCAAAATAGCAGAAAAGCATCATCATACTGTATAATATTTCTGTATAAATATTTTACAAATAATATTTTCAGTGTATTCTGCAATGCCTTGTGAGACACTTAGGACAGGCATCTTCATTTTTTCCATAAAAAAGGAAGGTTTAATAACTTAAAAAATACATAAATATTCAAATCAGAAATGCTTTAGAATGTGTTCAACAAAGTCAATAATTCTCACTCAGCAGAGAAAGTAAACTATTTTGACAGGGCACTGTGGCTCATGGCTGTAATCCCAGCACTTTGGGAGGCCGATGGGGGCAGATCACTTGAGGCCAGGAGTTCGAGACCATCCTGGCCAACACGAAGAAACCCTGTCTCTACTAAAAATACAAAAATTAGCTAGGCGTGGTGGTGCTCCCCTGTAGTCCCAGCTATTCGGAAGGCTGAGACACAAGAACCACTTTAACCCAGGAGGCAGAAGTTGCAGTGAGCTGAGATTGCACCACTGCATTCCAGCCATGGCAACAGAGTGAGACCCTTCTCAAAAAAGAAAAAAGAAAGTAAACTGTTCAATAGGGCAAAAAAAGCAAAGTCTTAAAACGCAATGGAAAGGTTGGATTTACATTAGCATTGTTTTACAGTTTGAGAAGACAAACTGACCTGCTAACAATGTTCAAGCAGTTGGTATTACTGAGACTACAGGTGATTTGTTGAGCATTGAACAAGTTATGAAGCTTGCACATATATGTGTACTGCTGCAATGAAATGAAATGAATGGCAAAATTAGTTTAGCACTCATTTGACGCATAGGCATTATTTGGCTACGTTGTAAAGCATAATAATAAGCATATAACATAAGGGGCTGCCAATTTGGTTGGAGAGAGTGATAATCTGAGACAAACTGTAGAAGATTAAGTATTTAGGGCCAATTAAGTATATCTCAAAAATAAATCCAAGATATTAAGTATGAATTCATAAGGATCAAAATGAGGTCAGAGGCAGATTTCAGGGGCAAAGATAAGAAGATTGGTCTTCAAAAATTTATATATGAAATTATGCAAGGACTTTAGGAGGCTGGAATATCTAGGAAGTATGCGAAATGGCTTAATGAGAAAAACACAGGACCAGAGATCAAAAGATTATGCATTCAGCCTCAGCTGTCTCTCAGTAGTTGTGTGACTTTGTGCAAATCGTTTACTCCCTCTCTCCAAATTATAATCCCCTCATCTTTGAGGCAAAGGTCTTCATAAGTGGTACTCTTTATCAGACAAATGTAAAAATGCCTGCAGCAGAAATCATTAAATGTGTAGAACTGCTGATGATGATGATTTGTTTTTATTAATGATCTGTTGTAATTGATAAATTGTTCTATTTGATAATTTTCATAACAAAATAACAGATTTAAATTTTTGTTGTTGTTGTTTAGAGATAGGGTCTTACTCCATAGCCCAGGCTGGAATGCAGGCGTGCCATCATAGCTCACTGAAGCCTCAAACTCCTGAGCTCGAGCGATCTTCCCACCTCAACCACCAGAATAGCTAGGACTACTGGTGCGTGCCACCACACACAGCTAATTTTTTTATCTTTTGTAGAGACGGGGGTCTTGCTATGTTTACCAGGCTAGTCTTAAATTCCTGGCCTTGAGCAGTCCTCCCATCTCAGCCTCCCAAAGCGCTAGGATTACAGGCATGAGCCACTGTGCCTGACCTAGATTTTTTAAAATAAGAATTTAAGGTACAAATACACCACAATTTATTTTTTTTGTTAGTAATGGTGTGACTTATCAGTCTGATTTTTTTAATTGTAAATTTATAAAATTATTCATTATAAAACGTTTTGGTTTTCCTAATAATATGTTTTCCAGTTTTAAGACTAACTTATTTCTATTTTTATTTTTCAAATTCCTTAGCACTCCCGATTTGGAAAAACAACCAAATGAAAATGGAGTATCTGTTCAGAATGAAAATTTTGAAGAAATTATAAACTTACCCATTGGATCTAAACCATCCAAATTAGATGTCACCAATAGTGAGAGCCCAGAAATTCCTTTGAATCCAATTTTGGCCTTTGATGATGAAGGGACACTTGGGCCCCTGCCTCAGGTAGATGGTGTTCAGACACAACAGACTGCAGGTAAGCTTGCCTCCAACTCCCTTCTGTAGTCATCAGAAATATCTGACACCCAGGAGGACACAAACTGCGACCTTCTACAGTATGATTGTGGTAACACTTTGTTCTTCAAAGGACCAAGTAAGCCACAGTGGAAAAGATTGTGCCTGGCTCATAGAAATTGAATTTTGAGTTGGATTGGACAACTTCTAAGGCCTCTCCTATTCTCTCAGTCAGTGCAGAAATCCCGTCTGCAGCACCCAGTGGGTGTCCATCAGCCTCTCTGCACAGAGCAGCACCCATTACCCAACAGCGTGCATGGTCAGAATATGCTTTGTAGAAAGACAGGGCTGCCTCCCCATACTTATGGACCATTCCGGCCTATTGCTGCCCACTAGAGAAAGATTTGAGTTTTTTCCATCTTTCTCAGGTCTTCATATATTTGAACACTACCACCATTTTTCTCTTATTTGGGTTTGGCAACCTGAGTAATAAATTATTGTCGTTTTAAAATGTGACATGATGAGTAGTTACAATTTAGGTGATGAGACCAGTACTCTGAATAGGATCACACTGAGTCTAAGGATCTTTCCTTGTTAAATGATTTGTTGCTGTTGAAACTGCCTGTGACTTTCTTATACAATGTATCTTTGACCCACACTTGACCTGAAGTCTTTGTGCAAAAAGAACAATCAGGACCCAAAGAAAGAAGGAGTAATATCAAATATCACTAACTCAATGGTCATAGCAGCTCAGCAGCACAGTCCCATCAGTCTCAGGAATTAGCAGGATAATCTCCACTCCCTGTCTCTTCAAACCTGTTTCAATTTTGTTGACTTCTCTTCCCTGAAGATGACTTTCATGTATTGACCAGCATCTCGTTATATTTCTACGAAAAGAACTGGCCAAATTCAGGATAACTAAAGGGAGACAATATAGAATTATTTGTGGGCAAATTGTTTTGCCTTCTAGATTCAATCAGTGAATCTGTAATAAATCAACTTTTAATGCAGTGAGGTAACCAATGTGAACCACCCATCCAAATGAAGCTACTCTTCTTTTCTCCTCTAGTGTACTGTCCTTAGAAGTGGAACCTCACTTTAGTGAACTCCACTTTTCTAGGATTTGAAAGGAGGTTGTAAGGGCCCTCCCCAGTCTGACTTTCTGATTCTTAAGCCTTTGGGAACAATCCGGCTAATGGTATGTTGATGGAAACATGCCCAGTACAGCTTCCTACTCATGTTACAGATTTACAGGGAGGGAAAGAACTTCTAGATGATTTATCGACATTTATTTTAACCTCCAACATATGTTTAGAACCCTAAGCATCGGGTACTGAGGATACAAGAGAAATGAATGTTTAAATCCCTAACCGAGAAAAGTACAATCTGTGTATGCCACTTGGAAAAATGAAGGCTATGACCTAAGCTGATGTAAAGAAAAGAACATGTGTTTCCTATGAGTAACAGAATTCACTTAAGACTGTGAATCCTAACAAAATTGCCTATTCTTATATAAGTGTATATAACAGTATAGTAAATTTTAGAAATTTAAGGTATTGTATAGTATTCTTGAAATAAGATTTTAGATAAATGTCATATTAATCTGTTCTTTTTCTGTCTCTTCATATAGAAGTTATATGAGTATTTCTTCTGAAGAACCAAAGCTGAAATTTAATGAGAATTTCTACAATTAATGGAATTCCTTTCATGCTATAAAGGAGCATCCCCTCTGCCAGTTTTCTAAAGAGTTCTTGACCATCATTTTGAAAAGATTTATTAAAACTAGCTAAAGACAACAGACTGGATAGCTTTTCTAATCATTTTCATCAATAGGAAAAAAGAAATACGTCTCATTCTTCAATACTTTAAAATGGCTTTTTCCAGTGTGCTCCTTCTTAGCAATCAATATTTTTCTGCATTCTTTAAAAGACAAGAGAATTTGGTTATAAAAGAAATGGGCTGACTAGGCATGTTTTTTTGGTCTTAAAAGCTTAACATGTAAAATTGGCAAAAAAATTTTTACCTTTTATAATACTTGAAAAATAAGTACCTCTTTGCTCTACAAGTAGAATGAATAGGGGAAGAGTTTAAACCTGTTTGTTAAAATATTGCAAAGAGCTCTATTTGTAGAAGCAAATTATAGGCAGATTACCAGGTTCTTATAAATACAACTTGTACATGGACATTCTGCAAACCCAGCTGTCACGTTTTTCTTGCAACTCCTTTTGCAAAAGCAGACTAAAATGTTTTAAAATGTGAAAAAACATTATTTTTTCAAAGCAAGAAAATAATTTACTACCCTCTTACATAATGTATTTATGAAGTTTTTCCAGATAAACTAATCAAATAAATTAGAACAATGTGACAACATTACAAATTTAATTTGTTAGCTGCATTCCTTCTGATGTTACCACGAGAGAATGTTACTGATGATTCAGGGCTATTTCTGAAGTCTGTGTGTTGCTGCTGTCCCCAGTGATGGTGGACTTCTCTTTGCCTTACCTGATCACAAATTATGTTTGGGAAAATAAAGATTTAATATTTCTTTCAATAGAAAAAGAATTTGGTTTTGCTCGTTTAAGAGCAATGAGAAAATGATGGAATGTTGACTGTGTTTGGCACACAGGACACGGACCTTCATGGAAGTCCATGCTCTGCGTGGCATCTGTCAGCTTTTCACCTTTCATTCGTCTTCTTCACTTTTGCTGCTGAGCCTAGCTGTACAAACTTGCACTTTCATTTGCTAATATAAATTCAATTTTATTTTACCATTTTAGAGACTACTAATGATTAAATGTAGGAGAGGGTGCACATGTTTTTACGTGGAGTGTTAAAAAAGATAAATTTATACCACGGTAACGTGCAGCTTTTATGAAGAGAGAAATTGGTTAAACTGCTAGGTTGAATGAGAGACTTCATCTATTGGACTATTTGTTTTAATCCAGGCATATGGTCTTTAGTAACAGCTTGTAATTTGTTAAAACATTAATTTGGGGGTTTTCCCTATTTTCAGTTGTCCATGTACACAGTCATTATATTAAAAAAGAAATCTGTTCAACAAAGTTGTTTAATTTGTTTAAATCAACATAGCATGAAACACCAAATAAAATGTTTGACATAGTTTTACTTTTAGGTTTCTCATATGTTATAACTTCACTCAGATTGATTCTTGAGTCTTCAGATTGTCCTTCATTTAACTCAGTGATATTTTCCCAGCCTTCTGTTGATTAAGCATATAGGATAGCTTTATTTAAAATTTAGAGCGGTAGGTCTATTTTGGCTGTTTTTCTTTTTCATGTATGTCTTTAAACTTTGGTGATCATTAGCAAACTGAAAGCCTTCTAAGTCATCAAGTTTTTATTAGAAGTGGTACAAAATTCTTAATTATATTGTGTTAAGAGCAGTGCTGCCAGAGAATGGCCCTGATCTTTACAATGGCTGGCTTGCTTTTCGGTCAGCACTTGAAAAATCTGTATTTACTTGCAGACCTTAAGGAGGTCTTCAGTATTCACACTACATTAAGGGGAGCGCTCAGGAATCAAATATGGCCCTCATATGAAAATAGGGTGAATGGGCTTTTAGTTTCCTTTCTACACCATTGCAAACTAGGCCAAATTTAGTCAGTCACCAGTCACGGGTGTGTTTGGCGGTACCTCTAGCTATTACAGGAACGTAAGGCTATATGTGTCCTCCTACATAACCACACCACCTCGTGGTGTGTTACAGTAAAAGCAAATCTAAAACAGTTATCTTACATGACAAGTTTATTAGCAAGCAGGGCTTCTGGAAAGCTTGGGGAAGTTCCTTCTCTGCTCACAAGTAACCCCACAAACACCTTGACTAAAAAGTTCACAGTGAAGAAGAAGCAGTGATATTCTGAAAGCAGAATTAAGAAACCTGATTGCCTGGTTGGACCACGTCACAGTCATAAACGTGTGTGGAGTGCTGGAGCGGGAAGGTACAGGGGCAAAGAGATCTCTAGACCGAGGTACTATGAAAAGTCATTATTTTTCAGGATCTGCCAGATTCTTACACTTCATTTCATGCATTTTGCCTCTAAAAGTCTAGACAACCACCTGCTTTTCAGTCTGCATTCACCAGTGAAAAATTAATATCCTTTATGCTGATGAACACTGGCATATACTTAGATAAGTGTTTAAAGCATCTGCCTAGCCACCTGATCGAGGTGCTTCAAATACTATCTAACTTCCTCTCAGAAGAAGATTGAAGTTAACTTACACAGCACACATGAATTGCACAATTTATATTTAAAGTATTTTAAAGTAAATTATTGCATAATAAGTAACAATAAATTCTCCCATCTTTTGTATTACATTTTTAAAAATCTGATTGAAATGGACTATTGGCCTTCATCTATTCTGTGCATTGAACACTTAAAGGCATGATGGGGCTGGGTTCAGTGGCTTACACTGTAATCCAAGCAGTTTGAGAGGCCAAGGCAAGGAGGATCACTTAAGGCCAGCAGTTCAAGACCAGCTTGAGCAGCATAGCAAAACCCTCCCCTCAACCCCACCCCCCATCTCTACTGTCAAAAGAAAAAAAAAAAGCATGATGGAATAGCTATTGGATCAGGTTACAAAAAGCAATTTTTAAAAATAAGCTAACATCTAAGAAACATCATTTTGCCTATACTCCCTCCCCCAAAATCCTGTTTTTACTCAGTGAACACCTAAGCCCACTCAGAAATGTTCTGGATTGTCATTTTTCTCACATCCTTTAGCACCTCCTTAGTTTTGGGGAGGAGCTCTGAAGGCCTTGCAAGAAGTGGGAGAGAAAAGGACCAGCGTGTGAACAGAAGTGACAATTTTATTGCAAATTAAACATTTTGTTACTAGTTCCTTGGTGAATCTCAATTGGGTTTTCATATTAGTAAGTTTGATTACAATTTTAGAGATGAAAAGTAATTTTAGAAACTAAAAATTGGGAGGCTGAGGTGGGCAGATCACCTGAGGTCGGGAGTTCGAGACCAGCCTGACCAACATGGAGCAATCCCATCTCTACTAAAAAAAAAATTACCCAAGCGTGGTGATGCATGCCTGTAATCCCAGCTACTTGGGAGGCTGAGGCAAGAGAATCGCTTCAACCTGGGAGGCGGAGGTTGCAGTAAGCCGAGATCACACCATTGCACTCCAGCCTGAGCAACAGAGCGAAACTCCCTCTCAAAAAAAAAAAAGTAAAAAATACAAAAATTAGTTGGGTGTGGTGGTGCACGCTTGTAATCCCAGCTACTCTGGAGGCTGAGGCACGAGAATCTCTTGAACCCGGGATGTGGAGGTTGCAGTGAGCCGAGATTGCACCACTGCACTCCAGCCCGGGTGACAGAGTGAGTTTGTCTCAAAAGAAAAAACTAATGCCAAGATTTATAAAGTTCAAAAGAAGTTTTAAAATTGCTGTTTAAAAGTATACACAGGCCAGCCGCCGTGGCTCATGCCCCTAGTCCCAAAACTTTAGGAGTCCAAGGTGGGAGGATCGCTTGAGCCCAGTAGTTTGAGACAGTCTGGGTAACATATGGAGACCCTGTCTCTACAAAAATTAGAAAATTAGCCGGGCATGATGGCACATGTCTGTGGTCTCAATCACTTGAGAAGCTGAGGTGGGAGGGTCGCGTGAACCCGGAAGGTCGAGGTGCAGTGAGCTGTGATTGTGCCACTGCACTCCAGCCTGAGTGACAGAGCCAGACCCTATCTAAACAACGACAAAAAAAAACCCTAAAAATTAAAGTATACACTATAAAAGGACTGACGATCACTTTTGAATTACTGGATCTCTAAATACCTTGTGGAAGAGTAAAGGGAGAGGTTCAGAAGGCAAGGTGCTAATGTTGGAAGCAATAGAAAAATGAAGAGCCAGCATCTGCAGTTACACTTAGGTAGTTAAGTATCAGATTTGCCAGTAATTAACCATAGGAAGCTTGGTAAGTTAGTTGAGTTCTCTGTATCTGGTTATTTTCATTGCTAAGTGGGAGAATAATACTCATCTCATGGAGTTGTCTTTTTTTTTTTTTTTTTTGAGACAGAGTCTCGCTCTGTCACCAGGCTGGAGTGCAGTGGTGCCATCTTGGTTCACTGCAACCTCCACCTCCCAGGTTCAAGCGATTCCCCTGCCTCAGCCTCCCAAGTAGCTGGCACTACAGGTGCACGCCACCACGCCCAGCTAATTGTTTGTATTTTAATAGAGACAGGATTTCACCATGTCGGCCAGGCTGGTCTCGAACTCCTGATGTCATGATCTGCCCACCTCGGCCTTCCAAAGTGTTGGGATTACAGGCGTAAGCCACCATGCCCAGCCCTCATGGAGTTGTCTTAATTATTAAGGTTGAATTAAATGAGTATAAAGTTTCTCAGTAATTTTTCAATAAATGGTAAAACTTTTGTGTTTAAGGCCGGGCATGGTGGCTCACGCCTGTAATCCCAGCACTTTGGGAGCCCGAGGCAGGTGGATCACCTGAGGCCAGGAGTTCGAGACCAGCCTGGTCGACATGGTAAAAACGCCATCTCTACTAAAAATACAAAAATCAGCTGGGCGTGGTGGCACACGTCTGTAGTCCCAGCTACTCGGGAAGCTGAGGCATGAGAATCTCTTGAATCTGAGAGGCAGAGGTTGCAGTGAACCAAGATCACACCACTGCACTCCAGCCTGGGCAATAAGAGTGAAATTCTGTCTCAAAAAAGAAAAAAAATTGTATTTAGTTTGAGATACTTGTGGAAGACAGGGTCTCTGAAAGGCCAAAGAATGGCAGGAATCTGCCCCTGTAAGTGGGATCTTCACTGTCATTAGTCTTTTTTTTTAAGATGCCCTTTCTAGGTAGTATTATACCAAGCAAGCTAATGGATGTGAACTGTTTTCTTCAGGGCAGTATTGCAAGTTTAGAATTTGTAATCATTGAGTTGCTACCATATTACCATTTCACAATCACTTCCCTTTCCATTTCTCCCAAAATGTTTTCTTTCCAAAAAGAATTTTATTTTTATTTTCACATATTTGGAGGCTTTTTTTTGACATCGTTTGACACAATTAGAGTTACCTTGTTGGCTGCAAATATAGGGATGCTTAACTGCTTTTCCAGAAGTTAGTTGACACTGGCCAGCCTCCAGGAGGTGCTACAGGAAGCTGGGGCAGTGAGAAGTTTCTAAAGCAGTTTCCAAGAGGACCGTGAAGCACATCTCATTCAGCTGTGTCTAATGATTCTTCTCCTCCGTAAGTGGAGCTGCCTTAGTGGAGCTGCCTTACCAGAAGGTGTTATCAAAAAAGAGATGGGGTCAGGCACGGTGGCTCACACCTGTAATCCCAACACTCTAGGAGGCCAAGGCGGGTGGATCACTTTAAGGTCAGGAGTTCCAGAGCAGCCTGACCAACATGGTGAAACCGCATATCTACTAAAAATACAAAAATTAGTGAGGTGTGGTGGCACACATTTGTAATCCCAGCTACTCGGGAGGCCTAGGCAGGAGAATCGTTTGAACCTGCGAAGTGGAGGTTGCAGTGAGCCGAGATTGCACCACTGCACTTCAGCCTGGGTGACCAAGCAAGGCCCTGTCTCAACAACAACAACAAATGGATCGGGAAGGCAAAGATTTGGAAGCCCTTGTTGGATGTGAGGGTCAGGAAAGGCATCCTTCGGTGCTTCTCTTGCTAGTTCCAGAGTCGTCCTTCTCCCTCAGAATGATTGGCAAGAAGTTGTCTCACTCTGAGCTGCACCTGCCCTACACTGTCATTCATGTCCTCAGCTGACATGACCTCTGGCTAGTGGAGTATCAGTGTCCCAGGCTTTTGGGTTTGGGGAGGGTTGGAAAGGTAAGTGGGGTCCCCACATCAATGACTGACATCATTTTGCCATGGCAGGAACAGTGGAAATCAAAGGCCACGCTCGGTAACTTGTTTCCCCAGACTGTACATCCCACGTTGACATATCTGAGGGCTCTTGTCAAAAGCCAGCCCTGCCCCAGTATGTGGCAACCAGAAGTGCCAGGAAGTTAAGACCTGGGAGGCAGCTTTCAATCAGTGACACAGAGAGTCTATAATATGGTTCCTGCTGCTGCCTGGGGTGTGCTTTTACTTGTATACTTACACTTTTGCCCAGAGCTGCTTCACCAGATCAAGCATCT